CTTCAATTCCTGGAATCTGGATATAGAAATAAGGATGGAGCAACTCACCACTTCTGTGTCCTCTTAATCTGACCTCACTATGGCAGCTTTTCATTCAGTCCAGTCCCAGTTATCATGAAAAGGATAAATGTAACCCCAGTGATTTTACAAATCAGGGATTACACTGTGGATGTGAATGATATGGATTAAATTCATTTTATGTTAATCAGATTAATAGAACAGAAAGTTGTTACGCACGATGTGTGTTAGCAGCAATTTTTGGCCTTGGAATACCAAAAAAATATGACTTAAAGTATTCTAGGGTATATTATTAATTTGGCAGTTCATTATTTTAATAAAACTGTATTAGATTTGGCAAATGTTGCATAAAATCAATTTTGGACAGTAAACCCTGTTCCATGATAGCTATGTCCTAGTCTCCAGAACTGAATCTATCAGCCTAATTCCATATATGGCAAAAAGCCCTTGAACACATGATTAACGTAAGGATTCTGAAATGAGGGCATTGCTCTGGATTCAACCATTGGACTCTATGTGATCAAAGAGCCTATAGTGAGGCAGGCAGGCAGAGGATTCTGAAAAGATGTGATATTGGGTGCAGAGGTCACAGGGATATAACTGCTTTGGCTTTGAAGGCGATGTGAACAGACTCTTGGAAACTGGAAAAGATTGAAGGATGGAATCTCTCCTAAAGCCTCCGTGAAAGAATGCAGCCTTCCTGACATCATGCTTCAAGCCAAGGAGACCAGTTTCAGAATTCTCACCTCCAGAGCAGTGATATAATACATTGGATTCATGATAGCTTGATACAGCGGGTGTGGGCAAGTCATATACTAACAAACAATATTCTCAGATTTTAAGCAAATGAAGGAAGTTGCTACTAAAACCCAGCCAGACATTACCATATATGCTTATATATTCAGGTGTAGTTGCTCTTGAATGACCAACATGGTCAGTTACTGTAATTATCACCATCCTACTAGGGGTGGAAAAACCAGGGCTCAGAGGAGTCAACGGGGAGAGCTGGGGTGAAGCTTCAGGATGAACAGCTCCCCAAACACAGGTTTAAGCATCAGGAAAGTTCAAAACAGCTAAGAGAATTAAAATTAATTTAGGTAGAAAGCCACAATCACACTCAAGGAACATTTGCATTTCTGAGCAGAAGTTGTGAGCAAAATAAAATCCATTTTTCCTTTTCTCTAGAAACTACGTTTTCTCCTTCATCCCTCAGCTACCTCCAGTCATCACACGCTTGCTTGTGAATGTCCAGCATTATAATGATGTCCAGAAAAAAAAAATTCCTCACTCAATTCAGCTTGAAGAAGGTCCTAAAATTCCAGGCTCACAAATCTCATGGTTGAATGTGCACTGCTAAGAGCTACTTCTTATCTCCAAGCAGACATAGTAACATCCTGCACTACATATACGCACACACTCACTCACTCACTCACACACACACAGCATGCTGCAGTCCACCCAGCACCATTGCAGTAGGCAAGCAGCTCCACAGTGACTCCTGCTCTTCAGGGCATTGGAGAGTTGCTGGGGAGTCTCTGCAGTGTGTGGTGGGAAGAGATGGCACAGTTCTCTCAGGTCAAATGACACCTGGGAATGTGACCACTATTCACAACTGAAAGAAGGAAAAACAAAGATATTTCCAAATTTGCATGCAAGTATGAACCTAATGGAAGTATATGCGGAATAACTTGAAATGTTACCACAGAGATCCTGTCAAGAATTTATTGAGTGAAAAGTATGAGTTAGCATAATTTTATTTATAGGATTGACTTTCATTGTTAGATTTTCCTAGGTAGAAATGACCCCCAAATGGGGATAGGAAGGATTTTTTGAACAGCATTTTGAAAATGAAAAGAAAATGGCAGCTCTGTCATCTGACTTCAATATTCTCATAGTAATATTTAACTTGTGACCCAAATTTCCCTCACTTCAGTAGAAGTTACCATAGGGGTGGTTTGTGAGTTCCAGTGAGTCAAGTCTCCCTACTGTGGACCCGAAGGGCAGCAGTTCCATAGGACCAGAGCTTTTTAGTGTGAAGATTCACTGCTCAAACCATATCAGATTCTCTAGAGTTACAGGTTTGGAAATTAAAAGTCCTTTGCAAAGCAGATGGTCTCCTTCTGCCTAGAATCGCATAAAAACTGCCATTCTCTCCTCTTGCTGTGTATCACTCACTACACAGGTGGTGCCCACTCCTTTCACTCATCTGCCATGTGAGCAGTGGAATGCAATGCAGTGCAAAGCGGTTGATGTGACTGCTTCTGAGCATTGGATGGCCAATGGCAGGGGATGGGACCAGAGCTGATTCTTCCCTAAGCACAGGTACCATGGCCTGGTTTTGAGACAGATGGTGCAAAGGCCAAAGAGCAGGGTAGGGAGGCTGTGTGTGGAAATGGGATCTAAGCCAAACTCATTCAATGTGAACCTCTAGCTGAGCGCTGGGTGGTGTGAACATCAGGGATGCAGAGGGACTCACACAGATGGTGGCTTTGAATGGGAATGACTTTGATTTTGTGGAACCACCTAGTCAATGTTAAGAGTCTGAAAAGTGGTGGGTGTAACTTTGCACTCCTTGGAAATTTTGTAATGGAGATGATCAGATGAATGGTTAGCTTATTCTCTTAGAGTTCATCTTGGTGTTATTTCCAATATTAAGACAGCAGGGATAACCGAAGCATTTGCTAACTGAACTTACCTAAATTTTAGCATATAATAGAATTTTAGCATATAATAGAATTAACTGACCTGGATATAAGGGACATCTATATCCATTTTTGTGGTGTGACAGTTTCACTGTATTTTTAAGTGAGAAAGGTGGCATTTTACAATCTCCTTATTGTGTGTGGTATACACATTTCAAATATATAAAAGATATATTTTTTATCACTAATTTGTCTTCTTTGCAGCCATTTAATGCACTCACTTAATGCATTTTATTATTAAAAATACTCAGAACATTAGGGAATGCTATTGCACTAAGCCTCAGCCTCCCTTACACACATCTAGAGAAAGATTTCCAATTAGAGGAGAAGGAAGGGATTTCTCTCAGATGACTTTGGTCTCCATGGAGAGAAGTTTTGACAGTTCTGGACTCTGCCTGGGCTTGGGCTGGCCTTTCTTGGCTGAACTCCTGAGTTTAGTTGGTTATGCTTCCTGGTGACCAGAATCCTGCTGAGGAGGGAGTGACCCCAGCAACAGTGAATGGGTGGATGGGTTATACCTGGTGATCATCTTTCCAGAGTTTTCTCTTGGTTATCACAAAGAACACAGCTTCCTTCTCTCTGTGCTTGGAGGATGAGGGTCCTTAAACAATTCAATTTGTGTGATGCTCTTAGACTTTCAGAGTCAGTACGACATCAAGCCTCCATTGGGGGGATTCCTCCTTCTCCCCAGCCAAGAAGATGGCTCTCGCACACTGCTTGCTGGGGTGGGGATCACGGCACTTTGTGTAGTGAACATGGCACAGTAGGCACGGTTGTGGCCTTGCCAAAACTGTTCTATACTTCCCTGTGACACACTGACGCAGGCGATCAGCCTGGTGCTTTAAGGATCTTCGTTTTGATTTTCTGGACAGGGCATTTAAATGGTCCTGTCTTGTTTAACTAGGGAAAGAATGATTGCATTAAAAATACAACTGATGGTGAAAAATTCAGCTTTATTCCAGAACTAGAAATGCTCCAATCTGATGGCCGATACCTTATAAGCAGATTCTTGTGGGGAAAATCATGTCTTTCTATTTATTTACACAGTCACTTTCAAGAACACCGTGGTTTCTACTCCCTGCAAAGATAATTTACATTAGTCCACGGTAAGAAGAATGTCTTAACGCTTTGCTACTTATCCATTCTGTAGATGAAAATACTTCTTCCATACAAACCCCCGTATGCTGTGGATTTAAGTGTAATCATCTTTTTCTTTTCTGAGGATTAGGGGATGATTTATGACTAGAACTTCTAATTTAGAGCCTTTTGTGATATCCTTAGCTGAGACACTTTACTTCTTGGCCTTTTCTTCTGCCTTTCAAGTGACTGTTTAAATAATTATGCTTCTAGTTCAGTTATACAATCAATTAAAGTGTGATGATATACTAGTGCATTATGAAATGCTTCATGTTCATTGTAGTCCATTAATCCTTAAAATTAATGGTCAGATGTTACGATAGTAAGATTTTCCACATCTAATGATTTGCTATACCAGCTTGGTTTTCTTCTATTGAAATGTAAATATTGACTCATACAGTGCTAGAAGCAGAAATGTGACAGAAATGTAAAAAATGCTCAGATTTCATTCCATGGGATAAATATGCAGATAACTATTCACATCCATGCACTCCAGTATATTTATGTATGTAACTGTGAAATTAACTTAGAAATAGAGTTGAATCTATAAGTAGTCTTAATATATGTAGTTTTTGTAATAAAACTCATAAAATGAAAAACTAAAATAGCAGAATAGTATTTCAACATAAATAATTTACTCTTTGGTATAATAAATATTCTAGAGAGTCCAAATAGCCTCTCATTACAAATGTTGATAACTGAACTGAAAGATGTTTTGGATTTTATTCTGCACCGAAGGATATTTTAGAGGTGGCAGAAGTTGTATATGTTCATTGGTAGTTCACCTCTTTCAAGGACTAAACTTGATGCACCTCTCCTTGAATAAAGGGTCATTGATTTAATTCCCTTTATTGGAGAAATATCATTACCAACATCAGCACTGCTATCATCTCTGGCATGCCTAACCCTAATAGCTCACAGTCCGTGTGTTTGACCCTGTTGTCTTTGGAGATGTATAAACATAGTAAAACTTTTTTTTTTTTTTTTTTACCAGTTTTATACATGCATGAACTGAATCCCTAGGGCCAGTCATTTGATTGAGATTTCCAGTACAGAAAGACCAAAAATAAGATGTTGACCTCTGAGCAGGGCTGATTAAACTGGAGTGGAGCTAGTGATTAGTCTCTGTCCCATACCTGTGGTCTAACTTGAGGTTAGGCACTCTCGCAAGAGCTTATTCAGAGCGCACACCACCTCTTTGTTCCTTAGAGTGTAGATGAGGGGGTTCATTGTGGGGGTGAGGATGGCACCAAGCATGAAGAGGACCTGATCCAGCATGGGTGTGTGGTAGGAAGTAGGTCTCATGTAGACCAGCATGGCTGGACCAAAGTAGAGGCTGACCACTGTGAGGTGGGAGGAGCAAGTAGTCAGGGCTTTGTTCCTACCCTGAGTGGAACTGATTCGGTGAACAGCAAGGAAGATGAGAGAATAGGAGGTCAGGATGAAGGAGAGTGGAAGGAGGAGAACCACGGTGCTCGTCACTAGCACAGCCTTCTCATAGGCAGAGATATCTTCACAGACCAGCTTTAGGATGGCCATGACCTCACAGAGGAAGTGGGCAACCTCTCTGGAACCACAGATGGGGAAGTGCATGGCGTAGGCTGTGTGTGCGAGAGAGGTAAGGGCGCCTCCAGCCCAGGAGACGGCAGCCATCTGCAGGCAGACCTTCTGGCTCATAATGAGGGCATATCTGAGAGGGTTGCAGATGGCCACGTACCGGTCATAGGCCATGAGGGTGATGAGGATACACTCCGCGATTCCCAGAGTCAGAAAGAAGAAGATCTGAGTCCCACAAGCCACGTGTGAGATGTTTCTCTTCCCTGAAAAGAAGTCAGTTGCCATTTTGGGTACGGTGCTAGAGATTAATGTCAGGTCCATGAGAGCCAGCTGGCTGAGCAGGAGATACATGGGCATGTGGAGGTGGGAGTCCACCCAAATCAGAAGAATAAGCGTGGAGTTCACAGTGAGGGCCACACCATAGAGCAGGAGGATAGCAGACACAAGGAAGTGGCTATGTTTCAGACCAGGGAAGAGGCCCAAGAGGACGAAGTCCATGGCTGCAGACTCATTCCCTTTATTCATGTCTGTGCCTTATGAGCTGAGACTCATCAACCTTGAAAGAAGTGAGAGTTTGAGCATCATGACAATTTATTGGATTCTCTTCCTTTGTTATTCTTCAGCAGCATCAGCAAGCTGTGGGTCTTTTGAAAATGATAGCGCTTTAGCTAATTTTATGGCTAAGAAGGAATTGCACCTTAATCAGTGATTCTTTTTTGCAAGGAGATGTATTTCCAATTCGGTCCTCACCCATGCTCTTTCCTTCCAGAATGAATTGCTACCAGCCAGGTCAGTTAATGCCCACTCTGTGTCCAGTACTGATAGCAAAAGTTAGAATCAGCAACACCCTTCCCCTTCTGCCTCCCTCACTGTGCAGAGCTTCTTTCTCCCCTGTGTCTCATCGTTCAACTGATTGAACCTTCGCAAAGTCCCCCCGGTTCTCCTTACTCTCACACATCACACGTTCTGTGTCATCCCATGGTCCATGACTTGGGTAAAGTTGAATGAAATGTAGATTCTGATGCCAAAAAAGAAAAATCCCTGCAAATGTTGACTGATGAAAGACACACATGGAAAAAACAAGGAATTGTTTTTACTAAATTGTGTGCATAATACACTGTACATGGGAGATGCAAAGTATTCGTTTCTAAGAGAGTTAGAGCAGTTGCATGAGGGTAAGATTTAACCTCACCCAGCTTTTACCTTTCCCAAACTGAGCCACACCAAAAATCACCTCACTACGTTATGTGAAGTAAAATGACTCAGATTCAGGTCCTGCCAATTTTCCAATGGCAGCCTGCTCTCAGATCCTGATTAAAATACACATAACATTTTCAGTCAATATGACCTTGAATCATTTGCCTTAGCTGTTAGGACAATAACTCCTACAATAGATAATTCCCCCTATCTTAATGGCTTCAGATAGTAGAAGTGTATTTCTCATCAGATGAAGTCTAAAATGATCTAGACTGGCAGCTATCTCTACCCTGAGTGACACTTAGGGTCCAGCCTCCTGCCCTCGTTTTGTTTGCTATCTTCAACATGGACACATCAAACAGCAGCAGGCACCATGCCTGGAAGCCTGGCATCGGGAAAGAGGTGCCACATCAATGGGCGGCAGCTGAGAGTGCTGTGGGGAACTCGCCTAATGTTCAGACCCAGTGAGGAGGGGAGAGTGCAGCTCCCTGCAGGGAGGTGGGAAGTGCATCCAGCTCTGTGCACAGAAGGAAGGAAAAAGGTTTTGGCAAGCAGCTGCCAGTCCCTGTCACGGCTGCTAAGTTAGTCCCTGTCTATGTCAGACCTATGAGCTAGTTCACGGTAGGGCACTGCTTTGCATTCCTTTATCTGTTTAGTTGACCATAGCTACGCTGCCATCAGAGCTTGCTGGATTGAGTAGAACATACCACGCTATTTGTTCAGGAGAGAAGTTCTTCCCTTTCCTTCCATAATCCTGATTGTTGGCCCTTTCCAAATAAAATCAATCTTGGTTTGGAGCAAGAGTTTTCTTTTTAAATTTTTATTAAACTAATTTAAATTTCTCAAATTTACTTGATTTGCTAATGTATATTAAGTATTTAAAAATTAAAAACGAATCCATTTTATAGATATACTTTTTAACCTCTAGGAGATACATTCTGTTGAGTGCCACCACAGAGTGTTATGCTGTGTAACAGGATCCTCCGGTGTACAATCTCCAGGTGTGACTACGAGCGTCCGTGTACTTGCCTGTGTGTGTGTGTGGTGGGGGGATGTGAGGAAAAATGCAGACAGGAACAGCATAAGTAAACTGAAATCCTTAACGCATGAAAAGACGTAGTATTATCTCCTCCTTAAGGGGTGTTCTTAATATCTGTAGCTGAGGATGATTCCTGGAGAGAATAAAGACAGCCTTAAAATACTCAGAAGTTATCAACACCGAGGCACTTTTTACAAGATTCCTGCCATCTATACCCATAAGTAAATCTACATGTCTAATAATTCCTCTACCTGAAACACAATTTATTGTGACATTTCCAACAAGTTAAGAGACAGAATAGATGGTGAGCATCATTCATATATTAATGACATCTACCCACTGCACAATATTTTTCTATTACTGCATACTAATATTCTAACATTAATGGCTTAAAACAACACATAAGTGTTATTTTTAATTCCTTTCACTGGGGATCTGAGCACACCTTCGCTTGTCCCCTTCCAATAAAAACTTCAGCATGACTGTAACTAAAATCCTGGCTAGTGTTAGAATTTCATCTGAATACTCAGCCAGGAGAGGATCTGCTTCCACACTTGGGAGTTGTTGGCAAAGATCAGTTCCTTTCTTGTGGACTCTCAGATTGAGACACTCAGCTTTTTTTCACTATTGGATGGGGGTTTCATTCAGTTTATTGCTTTCCATGGAAGCAGCTTACTGCATAAAAGAAGAAGAGAGAGAGGGAGAAGGAGAGGGAGGGAAAGAAAAGGAGAACAAGTTGGGTGTCATAGTCTGTTTGAAACCTAATGCCAGAGGTAACAAGTGACAATAATCCAGCCTGGGTTTAGAAGATAGATTGTAAAGGCCATGAACATGGGCAGGTGAAGATCATTGGGGTCATCCCTGAGGTTGCCTATCACAAACATTCTGAGTTCATTATATTTTTGCAGTACTTTTGGATTTTAAACTAAGAAAATGTCTATAAAAAATAATTTTCTCTTATCCCGTTATTTTTATATTGTTATTATTTTAGTGATAAAATTGAGCAAATGATTAATCAGCATCAGATCCCCAGCCAAGATAACAGCCAAGATAACCAGGAAAGCATTTACTATTGCACTGATTTTCTTATTTATTTTCAGGGTTTTGCTGTAAGTTATTGCTGGAATAATTTTCCAGTTACTCACATGGATTCTTTTAATTTAGATCACCTAGGGAACAAAGATGCTTTAAGTCAGTGTAAAAGGATTCAATTTCATGAATAAGGATTTTGAGGAGATGCTTAGAAAGTCATGAATATCACTAATTTTAAGTTTTAAATTATTACTTACGGTTCACATGTGGAGTTTTAATCATCTAGGACACACAGGAAATGTGACAGACTTCAGTTTCACATATTTATAAATTTCATTACAGTCAGTTAATTTAATCGTATTCACCTTTAACCCTTAAGCCTTGTGTGAAGATCTGTCCTCACTTCCCTTATGTTTTTAGTAGGTCTATTCATTGGGAGGTCCAGTGACTTGATAGCCGCACTCTCCTCTCTGGAA